AAGAATCGGGGGGGGGGGGACGAAAGATGACAAAAATAAGTCCATCCAAATCCCAAATTTAATCTAACAATACAACCAGAAGTAAATCAACTACAGATACAATGTTTACATGTTGGAGATCCAGCAACCATCATGCTCCTCACAAAGTAATCTTCAGCTTAAGAAGAAAACCAATGCCAGTGCTGAGGAAATACTGTAGGGTGATGTTGCATCATGCTAAAAAGTTATAGTAGGGAATCAGAAGACTGGGAACTTGACATCCGTACAAATAACCATGGAAACTCCATGATTGATTGGTTTTGAACACACAGGTGTTGGAAACTGACAAATAGTTATAATGATGATACTCTACTTTCTAAATTTGAAAGCTAGACAGGGAGAGTCTCTCTGAGAAACTACCATTTATTTAACCCCTTATTCAAACAAAATCTGCAGCAGAACAGATATAGAAATAAAAGCATGGTTTCTACTTTTTTGTGGGAACATTCTAATAAACTATCTGCTCAGATATAAACTATATACAAGGTTACAACCAACATCTCCTTGACAGGCAATTTGTGGACATCAACAATTTACATTAAACACAATTGGCTTGGAGATATTATCAATTAAGCAAATATGTTTACTCTGAGTAATTGAACAATAAAAATCGGTATGAATCAGTAAAGATTTAACAATAACAGACCTACATAAAATGCTGCAGAGAAAATGAGAAAAATTAAAAGAGATACAGTGAGTTCTTTCATCATTCTCTTTGCACATCTCAAAACTAAAGTAATACTTTAAGTTCAATCAATAGTACACTTCTTCAGGGGAGTACACATCTAGGTTTGAATGTGAGAAGTGGAGGTTTTTGTTGTGTTTTGTTTTTAATTACAGGTTTTTTTAAGGACTCCGTCTTACTAAAACTCAAGTATTTATTGAAGTGATGCATGAAAGCTCATGGAAAGGGGAATTCTTACCTGACACATTATTTAACAAGCTTCACAGCTTCCCCACTCCAGTTCACATGCGCATGAACAAGTTTTACCCAGAAAATAATGGTCTTCATGCACAAACATATACCCACACAAAACCCTTATACAAAATGCTACTTATAAATTCCAGGAAACTGACAAGAGCAACGTTAAAATTCTGCACAAAAGAAAAACATCCATTTCCAAATTCTGTCTATGAAAATACAATATTGGTCCCACTTAACCAAGTGCAAAGTGCTTTCTCTGTCTAGGAAGCATATTAAACATTATCTTACCATTATCTGCAGAATAAAATCAGCAACGTGTTGCTTCCTGCTGCCACCAAATCAAATTATTTCTTCCTTTCTTTCTAGTAACTTGTTTTTCACCAGCAGGATTAGAAAGAAAATAAATCTTTGAGTATTTCCTTCAGTATTTCAGACCAAAAGACTGTGAAACCAGCTCTTAGTTAAAAAAAAAAAAAAAAAAAAAAAAGAACAGGTCTGGTATTTTACAATCACTTCTGCCCCAGAGGTACCTCCTGGTTCTTGTTCCTCCTTCTCTCCCTCGTTCTCTAAGTTTCTTTTAGCAATGAGAGTAATTTTTCCAGTAGCCTTGAACTCCCTAGATTTAACTGACATGGAAAATGTGACTAAAAACTTGTAGAACTGTCTAGCCTCCAACCCTACACAGAATCAACTTTGTTGTAAGAGTTGAAGAACACCTCGCAAGCAGCTACATGCTCAGTCATACTCCTGCGCTGCGTAGCACCGAACACCAAAGAGCAGTGCGCCATCTAGTTAGCAAGCTGCAATCTCCATCCTACAAGGGGGGACACCTTCAAACCCTGGGAGCTAAGAACTTGTCAGGGTTCAGCTGCTCTAAAGGTCCAATTGTTTATTTAAATAAAAAAAGATATGGCTACTGAGATAATCCACATCTAGTGGATATGGGAAAATTTAGATTATAATGGCACTACAAACTTTTACATCTAACTTTGATTTACAAGATAAAAGCAAGTTTTAAATTAAAAGGGCTTTCTGTTAATAGAGCTTATTATTCTGAAGACGGGAATGATTTTCTTCGAAAGTTGTCCCTGGGTGCATGCCTATTATCTTTGCTTTTCCCCCTTCCACTAATGAGCATTTATCTAAAGAGCCTGTTAATCCTCTGATGTGTGCTTCTGGTCAGAGGTAACAGTTTGAATAAAACCACTAATCACTGATCACTAAATCACTGATCATTAATCACACTCTCCAGGGCCCGTGACCCAGGCCATTTTTTCCTTGAGGTCTGTGCATCACAAACAAGAAGTTTAACATTTTTGATGCCCATGTATTGTGTGTAGGGTTATACTATTTCATCTCTAGTTGTGAATAAATAATAAATACTGCTACAAACTTGGGGAAAGGATGTCAATTAGATCCCAGACAGGAGTTTCACAAATGCTTACCCTACAGCATGGCTTTCACCGAAGAAAGTGGATCTTATTATAACAAAACATGTGTTCTCCGAGAAACTCCCACCTATTTAGAATATAAGTTTTCCTTTACTTAGCTTTCACCAACTCCAAATCAGACAGCACCGGAATCCCCTGCTCCCCTCCATGCAAAGCCTGTTGTTAGTTGTTTTTTTTTTTAATTTAGACTGCACACTTCTCTGACTCCCAAAGAGTTCTTTTTACTTTTACCCCTTGAACAAGTCACACAGGGTTTTTATTCCAACTGCCAGATAGGGAGATTCTGACTCAATTCAATGACTTATGCATTTAACTTCCTCTTTACACACAGAAACTTAAAGAACAGTGCAGAAACACTCAGCAATTTATTGTGTGGTACTTTGTGTTCAACGACTCACATGTTCTCACTTTGGAAATAAAACATCTAATCTTGGTCCTTTCAGCTAAACTTGATTTAGTCAGCTGCTCCCCTCCTAGCCTCCCTCTTGGACTAATGGGTTCTAGGCAGGCACTCTGAAAAGTTAAGCACTTTGTTTGCTGTGGGTGCCTTGCTTTCCTAAGTCACCGCAGGGGCTCAGTATTATCATAACGCTTCTAAACCTCTCCTGAGGTGCCTTTTCTGTCAGGGCTGAGTATTTTCGTCCTGGAGAAGGAGGCTTGCTGGTGCCTTTCTTAAATAATAGAAAAGGGCAGATTGTGCCCTGATCAGGTACTGTGGTCCCCTCTGACACCAGAAGCTCTTACATACACTCCAGGGACGGCGTGTTCGCCCCGGGGAAAGCTGTAAAAGGCGGGGGCGGACCCAGATGATAACGATGTGGGCGGAGGAGGGGTGGAGAAGGAGAGGTTGGGACCCGAGGGCCGCAAAGATGCCCAGGGAATGGGCAATTGCAGGAGGAGGGGGAGGGGGGCAGAGTTGCTTTGTCAGCATTCTAAGCCCCTGAACCCTTGCGTATCTGAAGCTGTTAATCAAACACTTACTGGCCCGCAGAATGACGTAATGGACCTGTATACAGCCTTTATTCCTTGACACATGTCAGAGAGAGGGAAAAATTAAAAATCAAACACACTCTGCAGACTCTGACAACGAAATACACAAACAGCCCACTCCAGTCCTTGACCTTGAATAAGCATCAAGTGGGGGCGGCCTTCGTTCAGAGAAAGTTGAGGGCTTTCTCTACCAGGCGTCCCCTGGAAACACATCTATTTCCCCATACATCTATGCAAGCCCCCACTCCCTCCTTCCTTCCCCGAGAGAAAACATCGCCTCAGTTCTTCCGAGTCTTGCCCCTCTATGAACTTGGTGAAAAGTTTAAGCGGCACGGTGGAGAATCTGCCGCAGAGTAAGGCTCCGCGGCCGGGTGCTGAGCACTGTCGGACGCCGCCGCAGTTCCAGCCCGAGCTGTCATTTGGGTCGGCGGCGGGCAAGAGGTAATGATGCCAGCGGAAAAGGGACGGAGGCAGGAGGCAGCTGGAGGAGCGTGCGCCAGCGGACAGAGCCCCGCCGCTCCCGAGCCTGGAGCGCCCGGAGCGAAAGTCCAGCGCCCCGCAAGGGCGACCTCCCTCCCGGGCGCGCGCGCCCACCAGCCTCGGCGGGCAGCTCTGCTGGACAGGTGGCAGCGGGCTCGGGGGCCCGGGTGCACTCGCCCGCCCGCCCCTAGGTGACCCGGCGTCCTTGCCGCGCCCGCTGGAACTTTGCAAACTTTCTTGGGGGTTCTGCCGCCGCATCACTGGGAAGCTGGGGACACGGACGCGGGGGGCAGGCTCCTGGCTCGTCGTCTCCGCTGCTGCCGCCGCCGCTTGACCACACTTCTGGAGGGGTCCTCACTTTGCCAGGTCTCTGGAGGCAAACACACCCCCCCGATTCATAACTGTCCCCCGCGTCAGGGAAACTCACGCGCGCTCCCACACACGCACGCACGCTGGGGCGGACACGGCGCGGGCTCCAGCGAGCATCTCTCCAGTCGCACGGCGCAGCGGCCACCGAGACGCGCTCCGGGACGGACACGGCGTGGGGGCTCTGGGGCGGCCACAGGACACAGGAGAATTCCACAGTCTACTAATTGGGGCCGGACTTTCCTTCGGTCCGCCAAAATGTTTACAAACACAGATCACCCTCAAAAAAAAAAAAAAAAAAAAGAAAAACTGCATCGCATCTTCCTTACTCCTTGCCCTGTGACCTGCCCATTGGACCAAGTAACCTCGCGGCTGCTGCGGAGAACCAACCCCTGCAAACAAGTACACTCCCGAGATGGCTCCCGCGGCAAGTGCAACAAAAGTGGCTAAATGCAAAGGCCCCAGAAGTGGCCGAGCCGTATTTTTAGGAACTTACCAAACAAGTGTGGAGAAGGCAAGAGCGGAGCCTGGGTGAAGGGACCACGTTGGACTGAGCAAAGATTACAATACATTCTATTTAGAGTGCATTACATCACCCCCCCGGTGACGTCACGTGGGATTCCTGAACTTCTAAATCATTGCGGTCCGCTGGGGAGGGCGGGAGGGGCGGGGCCAGCACGCCGAGGGGCGTGTTCCGCCCCGGCCCCACCCCTGCCCCGCCCCTCCAGCGGACCCTAGCGCACCCGCCCGGGAGCGGCGGCGGCTGCGGCGGCAGCGGCGACCGCGCAAGCAACAGCTTGCAGAGCCCAGCGCCGTGTGACACGGCTCCCTGACATTAGTGGTGTGAGTCAACTTGGAAACAATCCTGATGGTTTCAGACAGGACCACGGCGGAGGCGCGGACACGGGCTGTCCTGCGGGGAGGGCCTGCTAGGGTCCGAACGGTGTGAGGACTTGGGGGTGGGAGGAGAGAGCTGGGGAGGGGTTGCTGGAGGAAGTGGGGAGAGACTTTCTGCAAATAGAAAAGCAAGACGCTCCCCTTCCCCCACCTGAAGATGTCCACTCCTTATGCCTGCGACAGTCATGACCTCATTGCAGTGTTCCCTGCGTGCTGGCTTCTCGCAGCATTCACTGTCCCTGGACACCCCTTCTTCACACCCCACACCCCACCTCACTTCCAAGGGTGCAACTTCCTCATCTGCACACTCACTTGGTTACACAGCCCACACCCTTTCCAAGTCCCTCACTTCCTGCATCTGAGGAGCAGTGAGGGAAGTCGCTCCTGCAGTCGAAAGGTGAATCTCTGCTAGAGCCAAGCCTTGAGCCTGAATTAGATTCAGCGTCAGAGCCCAAAGGGCCCTTGGCCATCAGTTCCACTGCCTCCTCAGTCGTTGGTCCAAGCTCACTGGCTGGCAGGGCCAGGGCCAGGAGGCAGGATCAGAGCGCCTGGTCTGCAGGGAGAAAGGAGCCTGGCGTTTTCAGCATCACCCAGTCACCATCGCCACAGCACCCTTATCTGGCTTCTTCTCAGAAGTTCTCCCTGTGGCTAGCATCCTAGATGACCAGGGTTGTCCTTGCAACAGCTCACATCTTGCAAAGCACTTAAGACCATGGGAACTCTGTTTCTCACAACTCTGGTACAATAAGAATTAAGACAGGTGGTACAATTGTTGACATTTTGCAGGTGAACTCAGGCCGCCTTCAGAAGGGTAAGGGGCTGCTGGCCTGACATCACTCGAAGAGCAGGTGGTGGCAGTGGGACCACCCCAGCCCTTCTTTTCAACCCCAAATCCCATCCAGTTTCCCTCAGAGAACCAGCGGTAAGTATTGTCTTCTAGTGGGTTATTGGTGAGTAGAGCCCCTGCAAAGAATTTCCTGAGTGTGAGTTCTAGTTTTGCTTCTTTGCTTAGGAATGGTTTAGCCCCCATTAACAAACAATAATCATGTCTGACATTTATGTAACATCTGACATTTGTATAGTACTTCTCATCCCAATGCATCACAGCCGTGACCATGTAGTTTGCCAAAGGATCATGACTGGACTGGCTAGAGATTCTAACACTCTCCTTGTATTGCACATATTTCCGAGTGCCTTTTGACATATTAAGTGTAAGTGCTTTCTATTTCCTTTCTATTAAGCATTACAAGGTTCCTGTCCTCTTTAGTGTTCTTTGGAACCACAGGGACTAACAGCAGTCTGCTCTTCACAGCTTTATGTAGAACTCCTAAGTGAGTTCTCTACTTGTTCTTTTCCTCATGGAGTGGCAAAGAATGGCTCCAGTCCTAACCTGAATGTTAACTAATAAAACTTTACAAGTGACAGCTCACATTACCTAGGTTTATTGAAGGAAGAACTAGCCAGTCTGAAGCAGCTTCTATACCCACGTTATTCTGCACCATAACCAGTACAACTTTCTTCACCTGAAGTACATAGCTACCTCTTTCTCTCTCAAAGAAAAAGTATGAACCCATCAAAGGGAAAACTATATATATCCATATCAGCTCAAGCTGAGGGTCTGTTTTTTTCCAAGCAGCAAACAGGTGCAGACCAAAGGGATAGAGTGGAGAACTAAATAATCAAAGCCAGGGTAATTTTCAAGGCTTTAAAACTTATAAGTAGTTAACCAACATACACATATACAACACTTAATTCCCAGCGTTCTCTAAACAGAAGCAAGTGTGTATGAGTTTTAATGTAATTTTCTAATGGGGACGGTGGGGATAATTATAGTAACTCGAGTTAAGAATTACATCATTTGCATTAATAAATGTGTTTGGCACAGGGAAAAATATGCAAGCACTCACCCTCTTTCTATTAATGAAAGTATTGTAGCTCATGCTGTGATAGGTGAGCATTTCACTATTTTTTGGAAAACTTCATCAAATAATTGGAAAGGAAATCTTTTGCTCCCGAATTCCCCCAGCCCCACACTTCAGCCTCTCATCTCTCAAATCCGGCCAGCAGAGCCTTGTGTTTGTGGACTCGCATTCCTCCCTCCCTCATGCTCACCCACATGCTCACCCACTCTCTTCTAGGATTTCTCCAACCCAAAGTACTATGGTGGCTACAGTTCACAGGAGCAGCCAAGCAAGGGCATCGCTATGGGGAGGACAGCTGGGACATTTGACCCAAAGGGAGCCAGGACCACCAGGTACCAGAAATGCTATCTCACCTCCAGATCTCTTCCCCTTGTGTCCTACAAGACAGGGACTCTTAAACCAGAATCAAGACAAACTAGTCAGGGTACCACCCATCCAAGGCTATCCCCTTCCCCTACGAGACAGCCCAGGGGTGCCATTCCTAGTGCCAAGGAGGTCCAACCTATGAAAACCTGACTGGCACCACACAGACCAATGCAAATAAATGATATGCCCCTGCTAGACTGGAGTTAACCTTTTACCTCCGAATCAGGGAAGAGAGGCCTGAAGAGTCAAAGTAGTGAGCATTTACCAACCCCCGAAGAAGAATTTTAACACTTTTAACAAATGGACACCCCTGCTAGTGCTTGGCCGATGAGTATCAGCCCTGAATAGCACCATCTCAAAGGGCCTCAGGTGGGAAGACATTCTTTACTCCTGTACTTTGGATTCAGTTTTTCTCTAACATTCAGCAATCATTGGCAGCTCTGCCTGGTGATGAAGCCTGATGAAATGAAACAGATTTCCTTCTTCCCTACTCCTAGGCTCCCGCAGAAGTTCTCTCATTTAGTAGGGTAAGCCATAGAGCACCTGGGCACCATGTTAAAGGCAGTTTCTTGGATCAGGCTTCCCCCTAAGTTTTCAGTTCAAAGGCTTGGCACTGGACACAGGATTCTGCATTTGTGACTCTGATGCAAGTGCCTTGGGGACCTCACTTTGAGAGACTCTGGTTAGGAAAATTCTTAAATAGACAGTGACATGGGAGGAAGCTGGTAAGGAGCCAGAAAAGGGCCAGACTGCAACACTAAAGCAATTTTTTTTTCATTTTTGTTTGGTGCATTTTTTAGAGTTTGTTATTGTTGCTGCTGTTCGTTGTTATTTCTCTTATTTTGCAACACTGGTGAAAAATGAGGCACATGCCTGAATAGAGGAGATTCATACACAATGTGTGTCTGTCATTCCTTGCCATCCTATTTGCATATTAGAGCTCATGATGCTGCGTGAACACAAAATTTCCAGGACCCAAGGGGCAAAGGATTTCAAGACTCATATCAAGTGCAAAGTGAACTGGTGATGCCTGTGATCTGAGCGAAATGAGAGTGGGGTAAGGGGGTGAGCAGGCACTGATAACCCCCGAAAGGCCATGCTTTCCTTTCAAACCAGTCTTTTCTTGGGATGCAGCAAAAAAGGCAACAACATTCTAAGAACCACAAACAACCAAGGACCATATCTACTAATGTTAGGTTTCTGCATTAGACAAACACGCCAAAAAATACGACAAAGAAGGAAAGAGAAAGACAGAGTAGCCCATAGTTCCTTTATCCTGCAGTCCTTCCTTATCCACAAGTAAGGGCCCAGGACTTTAGCTCAGTGGTTCCACAGCCTGCCTAGAAAGCGCAAGGTCCCGAGTTTGATCCCCGGTACCAAAAAAAAAAAAAAAAATTCAGGTTAGGCTATTACTGGGTTTAGCTTTCCTCCATCCTTACCCACAAGTAAACAAAAAGCAGAAAGTGGGCAGAATGTGTGCTATAAAGAGGACCACGTTCATCTTATTTAATGTGTCCACTGTTCTGGGAAGAGAAAAATACATACGCGCATCTCAGCTGTGAAATACAAATTGTATGATTTGAGTGACTTCATATGTAAGTTAACTGGCCTTATATTTACTGTTGAAACTTGCATTGCTCCATATAAAATGAATTAAAAACAATGCTTATAATTTAACATTTTAATTTTTATTAAATGACTTTAAATAACAAATTAAAAGCACCACAACAAGTCAAGAGATTGATTCTGAAAGAAAGAAAAAAGCTTTCTATCTAATATCTTTAGTGGCACTGTTTCTTGGCTTTTAAAATGAGGGATCCTACACTTTCATCTAGCAGTATGATCAAAAGTCATAAAGCATATTCTGATACAATCCACCATGTCCCTAAGTCCATGCTCAGAGTAGAAGATGTGACAGCCTCATCTTTGTCATTTACTAGGTGTGTGACCAAGATCAGTTCTTTAATCTCTGAACTTCAGATTCTTCATATGTAAAATAGAGAAATATCAGCATTGACCTTGTAGAATATTGCAAAGATACAATGAGTTAATATATTTAAAATATTTAAAACCATCCTGGCACATAGTAATTACTGAAAGAAGTGTTAGACACTACTATTATGCATTACAAGTTTTGGGGAGAATTGAATAAAATAATTTACATCAAGTGCTTAGCAATGTGCTTGGTGTTTAGAATGTACTCAGTAGATGTTAGCCGCTGAAATTGGATGTAAGATGTAATATTAAAGTTCTATAGATTTGAATAGAGAAATCAATCCAGTTAGTCCTCAAATTAACGGTCTTCTTTTAAACCACTTCTACTGGGAGACATTGCCTTTAAATAACTAATCTGCACTGAATCTGTGGGAAATAGATCATTTTATGCAGGTAGACAGTCTAGTCAGTGCCACTGCAATTTATCCTCCTGGTCTTGACATACAAATGCACTTTTATACTAGCAGTTGTGTAACTATCAACTCTTGAATGTTTCAGGGTTTCAAGAATCACTTCTTAAAATCCTCACAGGTACAACTTGAAAATGCCATGTTCATGCATTAGAGGTGGGAGTGCAAGGCAACTCCAAAATATTGTTTAGCAAAGGACAACTAGGTCACTTGGCTCAAGGTTGGGGACCTCACTTGCAGACCATCAATTACTGATGGCTTGACCTACTGTTATATGGAATTATTCTTATAAAATGTATTGTATATTCCTGAATCTGGCTGAAAATCAAAAGCTTCACCTATCCCAAAGAGTATTAGTGTTAACATCCCTATAAAAGTCACGCTTATCTTAATGTGTTCTTTTTTTTTTTTAAAGACAGACTTGATTAAAGGAGAAACTACTCAATCTTTTTTTTTCCCTCTGCTTTGTGATTAAGTGAAAGAGATTGACACCTGCTCTGAATAATGACCCAGAGAACAATGCTGTGTCAGCACACTCCAAAAAATCTAGTCATTTCCTGAAGATCAATGGTAAGTGGAAAGTAACGGTTTAACAATAATTAGAATGTTTCATATATAGGGAGGTTCATTTAGACTAAAACATTATTGATATCACATAAATTAATATTGAGCATCATCTTGCATGAACTGATATTTCACACACCACCTCTTTTTATATCATCGTTAACCACATGTTTAACTCATGTACTGCTGAAGTAGAAGGTTATTCTCATCTATTTAGGGCACTTATAAGAACCTGATGTAAATGATTCTTGAGAATCTCAGGAGCTTTTAAACCTAATTGATCAGCCCTTCTTCCTCATACTTAAATAATATGGAATATTTAAAACCTGTAAAGTTACACTGAACCTCATTTGGATCATGACTGTTAGAAGCGGAGTCAGAAAAGTAGAAAGCTTCCTCATCCTTTCATCTCCTTTATCCCGGTTTTAAAATATTCTGTCTATAGCTTTCAGGACAGTGACCTAACTTGGCACTTATGGAGCCTGCAATATAAACACCAGCACACTGGTACATTGTACTGTTTAGCAAAACTATCGATTTTCAGGGCTGCAGTGGCTAACTATGGCAAAATCTGAGGGAAGAAAAGCACACTATTATTTGTGAGCACCAACCGTGGGTCAAAGCCATTACATATTTTATCTCATTCAATCCTGACAACTCTCAGTGAAAGGTATTATCTCTCCTAATTCATGGGGGAACTGAAGTTCAGAGAAGCTAAGTTATTTGACTGAAGCCACACAGCTAGCAATTAAGGCAACTGGCTTCCAGTCCTACTTTGACTCGAGAATCCACATGGCCCATCAGAACTCAAGATAGAAAAGCACTGTGCCTCTCAGGGATCAATTTGCTTGGATTTGTATCCATTTCTAGGCTAATTCCTGCACTTGTATGCGTCGGAGGGGTGCAGCAGATCTATTTAAAGAAAAGCAGAGGGCCCTGCAGAGCAGGATCCTGGCCATCACAGATGACCCAAGCACATCACAGCCCTGTCAGTGTTGGGGACTGTGGTCTGGAGATCCAGCAGCTGGTCTGAATACTTGTGGTGGCAGAGGGCTGTGGATTGTGGTTTTGGATCTTTAGCCCCAGTGAGAAGACACATCAGCAATGGTGAAGAAGGCAGAAGCTGCTGGTGTGGAGGCCCAAGCGACTCTCTCAACACCAACTGACTGTGCTGGAGGAATACAAAGGCAAAGGCAACTAAGAGTCATCACCAGATGGCTGGAACTCCAGAACCCTACTTATTCCTCTCATTGCAATAGTCACTCATCTAGGCAACATAAGTATGAGAAGGTTTACATTAGGGTTTGGAGAATACAAGTACTTGCTCTCCCTCCATAGCCTAAGAGGGCCCTTGATGGGTCTCTCATTTTTTAAAATGGAAATGTTTTTTATTGTTTCTGTAGGTTATAAAAATAATGAATGCTTGTAAAAACCTCAAATAACACAGAAGTATATAAAGTAGAAAGTAAATTTTTCCCTATAATCCCATCCAGAGATAACCATGATTAACAGTTTGAAGAATATCCATCCAGAAATTGTATTGCACATACAAATGTGAGTCCTATGAATGTGATTAAACTACATATTCTATTCTCCTCCTGCCTTTCCACTGTACAATTTATTGTGGACATCTGCCCATGGGAATACAATAAAATGACATCATCCTTTCTCAAGGCTATATAAGTTTCCATTGTTTGCGTTTAGTTATCAATTCACTGTTAATGAATATTCATATAATTTCCACTTTTTGCTATTATAATCAGTGCCACAGTGAACAACTGTTTATGCTCTTGTACATAACATCCATAACTACTTTGCATAGAAATGGTATCACTGGGCCACAGGCATACAGTCTTTGACTTTCAATGATTGATATGATTTTTTTACTTTAAGATGATACAAAAATGATACACATGCAATAGAAACTATACTTCTAGCTTTAAACTTTGATGTTTCCCTGGCTAATTAGCTGCATTTGCCAATCAGCCATAAAAGCACATGGGTAAACAGCTGGTACCCCACAGTGTGTGGTGTTGTCCACTTGTGATATTCACTGAGTTAGGTGCTCAAATGCACTTTCTATTTACAATATTTTCATCTTACAATGGACTTATTGAGATGAACAAATCTCCCCCACCCCTCATAGGGCATAGACCCAGGGTCTTTGCACTGAGCTACATCCCCAGCATTTCTTTTCTTTTCTCTCTTTCTTCCTTTCTTCCTTTCTTGCTTTCTTCCTTTCTTCCTTCCTTCCTTCCTTCCTTTCTTTATTTCTTTCTTTCCTTCCTTCCTTCTTTCTTCAGACAGGGACTCAGTACATTGTTAGGTGCCCAGGATAGGCTTGAACTTTGGATCCTCCTGGCTGCTCCTTCCAAAGCGCTGGAACTACAGGTGTGCACTGCCACACCTGGCAAGGATGTACCCATCTTAAGTCAAGGAGCATCTGTGTTTTAAATTTTGTTATATGTTGCTTGCCACTCTCCCAAATGGTAGTACCAACTGACTCTCCAACTGACAGTAAGTGAGAATATTGATCTCATCCCTGCACCCTGATCAGCCCAGGACATCCCCAGACATTGAGTATGTGACAAGAATAATAAGCTTAAAAATTACATCTTTTATGTTAATCATCATCTCATTGATTTCTAGTTGAGCATTTTTTCATGCATGTCTCCTGCTAGTATCTCTGCTCTCCAAGATGTTTACCTTTTATGTGTCTAATTTGTAAGAGCTCCTTCTGTATTTAAGATGGGAACCTTGTCTTCTATTATTTATTTTGCAGATTTTTTTTCTGGTTTTTTTTTTTTTTTTTTTGGTACCGGGGATTGAACTTGGGTTCTTGCACTTGTGCAGCAGGCAGTGAAACCACTGAGCTAAATCCCCAGTCCAGTTGGCCTTTTGACTTTTAAACTTTCCAAATTGGACTTTTAAATTTTTATACAGTCCATTTTTGCTATAGTGTCTAGACTCGGGCCATGATCAGAAAGGTCTTCCCAGCCCTAGCTTTTAGTTCTATCTTGACTAGCCTCTTTGGTTCTTCCCATACTGTGAGTTTAGCAAACCAAAATTGTGACATGTTGGTGGGTATATGTGATAGAAAAGCAGATGGGAAGAAAAAATATTATCTGCTCTTAACATTTAGTAATGTGGTAATGTGATTTTACTTTAATTTTAAGAGAAAACTTTCCAATATTTTGGCCTAAGGTAAAGCTTAGAAAGATGCTGACAAGCCCAGTATGCTGTGTAATATAGAGTGTATATTCTCTTTATTAGCTATGAATATGGCAGTGAATGATTTTTAAATTTGAAGTCAGATGATTCCACTGATAAGAATAGGAAAGTTTCATTTTAAGTAACTGATGCATAGTCTACCACAACAATGGCCCCATGTTTAGTTGTTGGACCAACCATGAGGAATGCTAAGTCAGCAATGCTCAACGTGCACCCTCCCTTCACCTTTGCCACAGAAGCTCCCATTATTCCAGAGGTATTCTATAGCTGCTATTCCTTCACCACCCAGAGCCCTGTTCACAAGACCTGACACAAAAACAAAACACTAAAGTACAAAACAAAACACTAAAACCTATGTTCAATTCAAACATGCAGTGAAGGAGAAAATAGTGAGCCTGTTGGAAGCAGAAGAGTCAGGAGCTTTAAACTTAGAGCTTCAAATTAACTCCAGATTCAGTGAGACCAAACCTCAGTGCCAAGGGGAGAGAAATGAGTTGTTATTTAATGGGTACAGAGTTTCTTTTGGGGATGATGAAAGAATTCTGGAAATAGATAATGGTGATGGTCATCCAATATTGCAAATATACTTAGTGTCACTTAGTGTGCACTTAAAATAGCTAAAATGGTACACCTTATGCTATACATTTTTTTACTATGATTAAAAAAAAGATTTAAAAATGAACCCCAGCTGTACCTCTTATCAACTATGTGGACAAGTTTCTACCCCCACCCCATATGCTTCATGGATTACTCATCTGCAGAATGGAAAAGGTGGTGATAGTTCTGGTTTTGACGGTTCATATAATCAAAGTTGGCTCTTGTTACAGTAACTTATGAACTTGAAGTCTGTTTTTTAAAGCTCTAGTATTTGGTGTAGAGTCCTCCATTTGTAGGATTTTTATGTAAAAATCAACAAGTTCAGTTTTTACTTAGAAGACAAATTTTTACTTATTTGATGTCTCTTGTAAGACTTTACTCTTAAAAGATGCCAGTAATTCACTCATCCAGATAAATTAGCCAAGAGGCAGCTGTGGCATGGTGAATCTCCTGTTGGAGATCTTTACTACCCCACCAACCCCAAATCTGTAAGGAGAGAAAGATGTGCCATACTCCAGAAGCTGGCTTCAGCCCAGTAGGGCCAGAAAGATGGGATCCTTATCTTTCATGGTTGGCCCCACCCTATGCCAAGTTTTGTTTCCCCAAATAGATCCTTCTGGAATACAGCTGCTATCACTCATTCAATTGTCAAGGGGCTGCCTTCTTGGAAAGAAATACCATTGTTTATCCCCCTGAGGGATGTCACACATCCACACATATGGGACTTAAATCAAGGCTTTGGGGGTTTTTTTCCAACCCACACGTTGGATTTTTTTTTCCTCCTTTATATTCTAACTTGAATAGTGATGTTTTAAAATAAATTCTTCTTGAGAAATTAGTTTCCCACATTATTTAACCCTTGAATTCAAGACATTGTCATGATAAGAAAACTCTTCTAGAAAATATCTGCATGGCATAGCCTGTGGCATTTGGAATGCTTATAAAATAATCTGTATTCATAAAAAGAGATTAGTTTTACCCCTCTTTTTATATTCAAATCCCAGTAAATGGATAAAGGCTAGACAATCCAGAGTATACGGGGAAGGAAAAGAGAGACAAAGGAGAGAAAGATATATGGACTGAGACAGGAATAAAGAATACAGAAATTACGGCTTTGTTCTTATGGTATTACCTGCCAGAATAGAAAAAATAGCAGCCAAGCGTTCTGGTCCTGTTTCCCAAAAAATGCAATTAAAATGATTAAAATAAGTAAAACAGACACAGGAAACATATAGAAAAAATATATTTCCTGCGTGCTAAGCCTCTGATCCCATTAAGTACTTAAATAATATCTTCCTGACATCATGATTATATAAATAACATGCTACTTTCATATTTATAAGATTGAGAGATTATATTACTAGCTTATGAAAAACATGTTTAATTTGCAATTTTTAAGTGACACTGATATAGATTAGTATATATTATAGAATTAGATACATATGCCATAGATGCTAGTTTTATATTTTATCATAAACATACTCAACAGGTGCAAAAATACCACCTAAAGTAAAACAAAAGATAATATATCTTCTGACGATAAAAACATATCTGCCTTGCATCAAAAAAAAAAAAAGAAAAGTATATGGATATTCACATCCTTCTTTCTCAAGCTTATCTAACTCCTTCTCAGGCACAGTGCCATATATCTATAAGCCTTTGTATCTCCTGATTAAAAGAAAATAAGTATAGAATCATGTTTGCTACAGTCTGCTGCCAAAAACCCATGTCTACAATCCATCATTAAAATGTGACAGTCTATAGCTATAAAGAAAGAAAAACCTCAGTCGTCATGCTCATTTGCAAATGTTTCAGGGGCTGGAGATTGTTTGGCAATCCTGCTGTTTCTAGGTTATTTGTGGAATAACCAGTTTAATTGAGCCGATGATTGCCTTGTGTCTGCATTGCACTTCTGACTTAGATCTTTATTTCTGCAGTTGGCATCAATTTGTGCTATGTGGCAAGGGAATGGCATGCATTCAGCAAACCCGAATTCCAGGGTTCCAGCCCACCCTTTCTTTTCCTTTGCCAATCTGATTTCTGAGGAATTTGCCTAGAGTTGCTACAAGAAAAAAAATGGTAATGAAATTCCTTTGCAGTATTTTGTAGGCCATTTGGTAGAATTTCTTTGAGTTGGGATTCTTACCCTCCCCAAGGTAAAATGGTTTTATACCATTATTAAAGTGGAGGCTTGCTTAGGATGTTCTCTGTAATTGGAGCATATCCAACTGCATGTAGTACACAATGTAAACCAACCTGTTGTAACGTGGAGAACAGTGCAAGGCAGATATTTGCTACCCAACTGAGTCAGTCGGAAAAAAGAAAGGGGTAGAGAGAACCTGAGTTAACACCAACTTTGTCCTGACTTGCACTAAGACTGTAGCATGGAGGAAAATTGAAAACAGAAACATCAGAAAGATCAGTGAGAAAGCAGGGCCTCTCTTTCTTCCTTTACTTTGTTCCTAACAAATAAATGTTCATCTTCACCCACTCTAAATCATGTCCCTGGAATGAGGACTGTATAAAAGGGAAGTTCATATTGCAAAGCCCATACAGAAAGAAACCACCCTTGGCCACTAATGGAAATGGCTCCATCCTGCAGTGGAATGGGCTTGTCTCCCCGGAGAATAAGTGAATACCCCAGGCTTGCTGAATGCTGGAATCTGAGATTATGATGAGAACAACAGACCTCATTTAAGTGTGTTTAAATGAAGACCCTAACATAGACCCTTTTCCAAAGAAACCTTAGACATGATTCTTAGGTACATAGAGAATTTTGTCTAAAATCTCCCATATATTTTCCTC